AACCATTTGCCCTCCCTCAACTACAGGGCAACTTGCCCTCCCTCAACTTTCGTCCTGCCTCCAAGCATTTCCACTTGCATTTCTCCACGAAATTCTATTCCGTAATATTATTACACTGTTCCACGTACAGTGCCCAACAGACTTCTTCTTCTTCTCTGTACTACTTCCTACTTCAATTAATTAAGGCATCCTGTACTGTACATGCCTCTTGTCGTTTGTATTTCGTTCACAACGTTTCTCCCTCAGCTCTTCTCCCTTGCCTTTCGCTTTCTCTTACCTTCCCTCGTACATCTCTAGTCTACCTTCTTCATCTCTCCCTCACTTCCAATAGGTTCCTCAAGATCCCATCTCCCCTCTCCTCCAGTTCTCAGCTACCCCTCACTTCCTCTCCGCCCTCCCCACCCTATCACCGGCCATCAGTTGACAGATGACGCGCGCGTGGCGCACGAGTTTCAATTTGTGCCGCAGTGTTGCCGACGCCGCACAAACATGGCCGCATTTTTTCCCCCGACGGCGACACTTGCCGAGGTTTTTGAAGCGTCGTAAATCATGACGGCGGTCACCGCCAGCCGATAAATCCCACCATAATAAAGAATTTCTTAGAATTCCCACTCGCCGAGGCCTCAGCTTCATCAAAAGCTTCTGGAACTCTAGATGCCAGGGAACCGCGAGAAATTTACGTGGAATCGCAATCATTCAAGAGATTACCACTCGGATGTGCACTTAGAAATTCTTGGAAATGCAAATGGTGCTTCTTGTTTGAATATTTCACGAGGAATGTGTTGCACTTAGCCCTGAGTCGTGACATACAAATCAAACAACTGTTTATTTAGTCCTTAATTATATTTGTCTAACAAACACCGAAAGTCATTATATCGGAGGCGAATAGACAATTTTCATGGGTTTATTTTTTGCGAACTTTTGGCAGCATTTCTCCGAATAGATTCATTTTTCACGAATTTACTTTGCTTCCATCACATCATGGTTGCTCTATTTCTTCGTAACCTCGATCCTCCATCATCATATTCACGGTATTCCCTCTGCCGTTCCACTCTGACCATAAATTTATCTTTCCTTCCCTCACCACAATCACTTCATTCGCAACCCTTTCCCCTCACCTCTTTTCTCGCAGGTTTTCTGTGTCACGAAGACAAGTTTTGTGGCGTCTGCGAGTGCAGCTAATCCAATGAACTCACCAAGACTTTTCACTCCGACAATAATTGCCAACGCCGCTCGGAGTGGCACCACCACCTCCTGCGCCGCTCGGAGTGGCACCACCACCTCCTGCGTCGCTCGGAGTGGCACCACCACCTCCTGCGCCGCTCGGAGTGGTTCCACCTCCTCTTTCACCACTCGGAGTGGCTTGCTGGATGTCTCGTTGGCATCTCCCCGCAGGAGCGCATATCTTTTCGTCTGCATGCGCGACGTGGTAACAACTAATGGCCAACGTGGTAGCAACTAACGGCCGACGTGGTAACAGCTAACGGCCGCCGTGGTAACAACTAACGGCCGACGTAACAACTAATGGCCAACGTGGTAACAACTAACGGCCGCCTTGGTAACAACTAACGGCCGAGGTGGTAACAACTAACGGCCGGCGTGGTAACAACAAACGGCCGACGTGGTAACAACCAACGACCGACGTAGCTGAATGCTCCTGTAAGAAGTGTCAGCAAGAACACGAGGTCTTCACAATACAAATGATAACCCACTGTTCACGCTGCAGGTTCGAGACCCGCCTCCAGTCCTTGGTATATTTCGATAAGCCCAAGAAAATTCAGATGGACTGAATTGAAATTCACATTCTTTATTTATAAAATTTACTTCGGCATACTGGAATTCAACAAGAATTTAAAATTTCAAATAAATTCATCGTATCTTGAATGAAAATGTTTCAGAGACCAACCTCCATCATCAGGTCATAAAGTTCATACAATCAGTAGTGGAAATCAATAAATAAACGAAAGGAACAAGTACCTGGAATTAAAGAGCTGCACATTTCGTACAACTGGAACCCGATGCTAAAATTAATCCGTGAAAACAAACATCAGGGAAAACAGTGTTCGGATCCTCGTAGCGGTGTCCAGCAAATCACTCGCGGCCGACCGAAGCCAAAGTCAACAATCTGAACAAGCCTGGGCTGACTCAGCGGTACCATTCACGAGAGAGAAATGCATGACCCCTTCCCCCCGGGGGGTGGGAAGGCCACGTCTGTTTACCAAGTGGCATCATTATTACTATTATTGAAGACAAACGCAAATAATATCTGGTACGATATTGGATGGACCGGTCTATCACTGTCGTCATGAGCGCTGCTATAATACCGCGTTATTAGGTCCAAGAACTTTACATGTTAACTGCACACGATTACTATGGACCTTCCTTAAATTAACTTTCTACATTTTCTGCCTTCTACAAACATGTTAAGCCAAAGCATACTACATTTAGTTTGTATGTAGTATCTAGGGTAACCTTGATCTTCTAGATCTAGTGCTATCTAGTCGTGTTCCTACCGAACCTTCATCCTCCTTTCTTGCCTTGCTTCATTCCGTCCTCCAATATCCTGTTCACTCCACCAAACACGGACTATTCCAGCTTATCCTTCATCAGCCGATGCCTAAAACCAGCCACAATTTCTTGCTCCCTCGCAAATGCTGCCCCGAAAACCCAGACTTGTTTTTATCTACCTGAAATAAAGCGGGCAACAGCAGCTCTGTTTCTCCCGACCCACGGACGTCCATGGGCCGGCAAAATAAGGTTGCAAGACGAGCGTCAAGGCAGCTCTGGTTTTCATCAGAGCCGCTGAGGGAGATAATAAATGCCGTGATAAACGACGGTGTCTGACATTGTGCTCTTAGTGCCGCCATGATTGAAAAGATATGCTAATGCCTGCCTCCGTACAATGGCGGTGAGGGGAGCGCTGGGTGGGGGTGTGGGGAATAGGTAATCAGGAGATATTGATGCATGACATTATTTACACAAAGAGGATATGGGGTAAAAATTATTGGAAAGCAAGAGATAACTCGCAGAGAGATAGAGATTGTTTGGTGAATGTGATTGCAAGTGAATGTTTCAATAGGTAATAATTACTTCGCTGTACGAAAGACAAACGACTGATGAGTCATTAGTGCTTAGAAGAATGTCTGAAACGTACCGTAAAATAAATCCGAAGTACGAAAGGGAAGGATATTGTGGATAAAAATGTCAGGTGGACGACATTTTAAGTGCATAAAGCATTATTACCATTCACACATGACAAATCTTCATTAATACCCGAGTGCAAAGACAATAGCTTAAGGCTTAGAATTATTATCAATTCTAAACCTCGACAAATTCGTCGCATGCACTTGATCAATTGCATCTTCAAACGAAACTTTCACCGGCCCTGACGTTACCGACACGTGTCCGTTACACACGCCATGCACACGTCACTTGCACTGAAATAAAACGTATCAAGTTCCTAAACTGATAACTTGTAGGCCTAGGACCCGATTCCATTTCTGGAAGGGTTGGGAGACCGGTTGCTGGAATGAAAGTAAACACAGATCTTGGTTCTCGCGAGGGGAGAGCCGGACGACTCACACGCGCGTTTTCTATTGAAGTTCCCCTCTCTCTTTCCCTCAAAAACGATTCAGTGAACCACGGTATTATTTGAGGTCCTTTGAGTTTCCCCTCTTCCCCTCCCCCTGTACCGTGGGAATAAGGGGGAGGCCCTGGGGCTAATCTTGTAGACTTAATGGCCTTGCCAGCGCCGCGATATCCAGCGTACGGCGAGCGTGGCCTGGGGCTGCGGTTAACTCGAGTAGCGATCGGAGATCACATACGAGTGACCGTTGGGTCAAACACGAGTGGCGATTGGGTCAAACATGAGTGGAAGTTGGGTCAAACACGAGTGGACGTTATGCTCCATCAACATCGGTCATATGATCAATCACGAGTCTTAATTGTTTAAAACATGAGTGGCTGATGCTATAGACCCGTGTGATCCACGTTCTCGGTCAAAATTCTCTCTTTTTTTCTCTTTCTCTCTCTTTTTCTCGCTCTCTTTTTTTCTTGCCCTTTCTCTCTTTTTTTTCTCTCACTTTCTTCCCTTTTGGTTGAGAAAGTCTGGCTCGCTATCTCATGGCCTATCTCCAGACTTCGACATTTGTCGAAAGTTGAGAAAGCTTGTGAAGAAAGTTTGTTTCACATTAAACGTCTTGCCTAACTTAGAACACTTGCTAACTTCGCTTCTCAGCCTTTAACTCATGGATTAAAACCTGCCTTAAACTTTGCCTTGACAGCGAGGCAATGTAGAGATATACGCCTTACGCTGGACCCTTCTGGAAACTATAGCCGTGAATGTACCGGCGCACCTTGAGACGCTATAGATCGCCCTATACTTATGTGGCCGGGATGAATGATCATGCACATGCCTTTACATATCAATGTTTTTGAAATACTATATAGTAACTCATCGGTGGTTTGTCATCGGCAACCCTGTAAACGTCGGTCGGCCGTCGGCGGTTCGGCCAAGATTTTCACCAGAGAGACACTTGCAATTGACTTCATTTACTAGCCAGTTTCGGCTAGTCTTTGATTATAAAGAAGTTTATCTTCAAAGAACTTATTATCTTATTATTGATGTCCAAATTGATATTTCATAAATTTTACTCTAATGTTCAGCATGCATTTTTTTACTGTTTATCATGTTTATTTCGACTTTTCATTATGTTAATTTTATCTGTTCGTTTTATTCATCTAACTTATTCATGGCGTTCATTTCTATTGCAAATAAACTTTACGATGATTGGTAATCACGATTGTTGTGTTGCTCGCTCTTGAAGAAAAGCTTAGTTGAAACTATCGATGTTTTCTAAGCAGATCTTACCTCTAGGTTGTGCTGCTCACTACTGCAGTAGAGCTGAATCGTAACTATCGATAGTTCTAAGTAGATCTATCCTCAATATTTCACTGCTCGAACCTCACATGTCTCATCAACCTTGTCTCTCTCCCTACAGGACGGCGGCACGCCACAAGCATACAAGGCTCCGTCCAGAATGATCGGCTGTTGTTGCAGCTGAGCAGCAATAAATATGCAACTGCTGAGTATCGCAACAGCTGTAACGAGAACCAAACTACGACTATAACTGTGGGAAATCGGTACAACTGTAATTAGAGCTTCGCTAAAGCTGTAACTACAGAGCATCATAACTGCTGTAGCAACAGATAGCCACAGCTGCAACATCTTCAGAGACCCTCAACATCTGTAAAATTTAGAGCAACATAACAGCCGTAACTGGGAGCGGGAGGAGCTACCAAGGAAACAATAACAGCCAATGACTTCCTGAACGCCAAACAAATTCGATTTACAGACAGGATTACACAATAAGCCGTGATTTAGGCGAATAATAATTGATTCAGGCCTTTGAAAATATAGTGAAAAATTTCCAAATTAGATAGGCGCTCGAGTGTTCTGACAAGCTTGAACACTGAAGAACACTTGTGGGCAAGGTTGGAATAAGGGAAGGGTGAGGCAAGAGGCAGAGGGAATTTTTTCTTTGCTGAATCTGGAATAGAGCCAAGATTTTCGTTTTTATCCCGTGTTTGAAACGGTACGTGCCGCTAAAATATTGGGGATCGCTCACAAAAACAGTTCGGACAGTCGACGAAAATTGGACAAAGTGGTCAATAAAATCAGCTGCTTGGGCTGACCGAAAAAAACGGCCCAGAGTCTATTGTTTCTTGCGACTGGCGAGGGCAGTGATATTTATTTGTATTTGTTCATTGCTCGAGTGCAGAATAATAAAAACGTGATCCAAAATCAATTAAAAATTTGTGTAATACTGTACAATAGCTGAGAAAAAAAGATGATCCAAATTATATGAAACAAAGAAAATTGTCTTCGAATTCATGGAGTACAGAAGCCATAACAAGAGTGTCCATAAAAGCAAGAAATACAGTCAACAAAACTGAGGAAGTCCTTTCATAAAAGCCTTTAATGGCGACCGGAGAGCGAAGACGCCCACAATAAAACACTGTGCCGCCTAGCAGATGTGTCCTAAAGAGGAATTTCTGAGGCAGTACATCACGCCTGCAGTAAAAACCTTCATTTCAGCTACAAACTTCGCTTCTTAAAACGAAGTCATAGCAAGAACAAGTGTCCGAGGTCATGTTGAGTTTGACGACGATTTTTTATGAGGATGTTAATCGTAATTATTTTCCTTAAAAAAATTTCTTTCTCTAATTTTACTTGAATATTAACTGATGGAAGACTTGCAAAACAAATCGTACCAGAATAAATAATCTATAAACAACAAGAACACATAATTGCTAAAGTAATATCTTCAGCGTTTTATTAGATAAATTAAATTCGAATAGCCCAGCTGTGAGTGGAGTCTCAATAGTTCGTGATGCAGTGAAAGTGTTAGCGAAGAAAATAGCAGGGTAAGCTGGAGAAAAGCTCTTAATGCTAACCACACTTCACGGAAAATGCAGAGGAAATCTAGAGATAAAATGGGTCTATGGATAAAAATTCCCTAAATTGGAAATATCTACAAATACAAACAATTCAGGAATAACTGCATGAGTTTTTCGTGATACTAGAAAGAAAATTGTGCTAGTTCAAAAGCAAAAAAAAAAAAATAGAAAAGATAAAAGAAGCCTCCGAATTACCGTGTCACAGTTTATCTACAACGCCAGTGATTGCTCATCATTGCGTGATGCGTTAAAATCGAATTCAAACTCTCCAGAATTCGTACTTATGTGTAAACTTTTGCCATCTACAGGTCATTAAGATTCCTGACCCAGCCAACGTCTGCCCCATGATTCCTGACTTGAATTCTAACCCAAATGTGCAATGGGCCTTGCCGCCCAGCATCACGCAGTATCTTCCTCTAATCCCCACTTTAGATACACGGAGTTACTCAAGATTACATCGCAAGTATATATTTGGGCGGCAGTTGCACTCATATTAATATTCATACATGACGCTCGGTGCATGCAAATGCCGTCATAACGCTTGCCTTGAGCTCTACAGCCGAGCGCCAGCCATCCTGCCTGCACTTGTAGCAACTGCCTCTACGCTTACACTTCTAGATCGTAATACGTAACAGACTAACTGTGTTGCCTGATTTCATCGTACATTGTGAGCTATTTTTTAAGGAAAGTATAACAAGTTATGTGTACCTCGTTTGAGATCAGCTTGTGTTAAATATCTTTGTGTGTCAGTGCAATGGTGGGAAATTTTGTGGAAAATTTTTCGGAAATCATATCAAAATCATAAGCGGCCTCATATATGTGAGAAAAAATACTCATAAAATATATTATGGTAAAGATTTTTGATCAAGTTTTAATTATGCATAGGTTATTTGCTGACATTGCAAATGAAACCGACTCTGAAAATTTACTCTTGATGTATGATGGAGTAACATTAACCGGTTGACGTATCATGTTATCGGTTATGTTATTGTCTGCTTAAGGAGACTAACGCATGCAATCTTTTGTTAGCTTTTTTCTCCATCAAGTTTACTCTCAAGATCCCATCAACGCGTCCCGATCAAGAAGGTCTCGACTTACGCGTGACAATTTGTATTTATCCGGCATTTGGACGGACCAGATCCGGAAGGAATCCGTTGCCGAAGCCATTTAGAAGTTGTCGAAGAAATCTGTCATTTAGGAACATGGCTTTCCGACCTTTCTCAGTTCCAGGGACTCGAGAACGACTACAGAAGTCAGATTGTAACGAATCAAGAAGGTTTGAAGACGAGAATTTCTTAGAATTTAGTGAGTTTGAGGAGAATTTTGGAAAACCTCGACCGTGCTCTAACGTTGTCCGGAAGATAGATCAGGATATTTGGTCGCGCTCCCCTCAAGTTAAAACTCGACGAGTAAATAGAGTGCTTAAGAGGCTAGGACCTCTGGGTGAAGGGAACCTTTCATTTGGAGACCTGAGGAGGAATGGCGACATCGAGAGTAGTCCCCAATCTGCCAAAGCGGCCATGATCACGAAATACGCGTCCGGGTACCCTCGAGAAACTCCTTCTTTACGAGACAAAAGAATCCCGGTCCTCTTTCTTGCATCCGGAATCGTTACTACAGACGAGCAAGAGCCTCAGATGCGGACACTGAATCGATCTGGACAGAACTGCTCGATACCGTGTAGCCCGTTTAACCTCAGCGATAATTGCCAAAAAGAGATGTGTGAGCAAACTGGAAATAAGATGTGCTTGACTCGCCCCTCTGGGTTCTTATCTTCTGCTCTTTCCGTTTCGGGGAAGCAGAAAACAGGAAAGAGAGAGCGACAACTTGGGGAGAACTTTGAAGAAATGAGTGACAACGAATGTGCAGTTGAAAGAACAGAGAGTGTTTGCAATTCATCTAAGATCTCAAACAAACTTGAACTCGATCATAAACTCAATTCTTCTTGGTACCATTTAGTTAAATTAAGATCGTGCATTATATGGTATTTCGTATTATTTATGTTATGCTGTAAACCAAGTTTAGGATTTTGTCCGAGTGGTTGTATGTGTGACAACGTTCAACTCGCAGTACAATGTCTCAGTGGGCGCATGGACGTCGTGCCCATCTTGCTCAATCCAGGAACAATTCACCTGGACCTCTCACACAACAAAATCAAAACAATTCAGCCCGGGTTTGCGTTCTATCACGAACTGCAAGTGCTCAACGTTTCTTATAATGAGATCGTGGCGTTAGGTGAGAGCAGCTTTACGTCCCAGGCTGCACTGGCTGTCTTAGTAATTAAGAACAATAAAATCTCAAAATTAGATAGTAAAACATTTGTAGGTTTATCTTCACTCGAGGAGTTAGATGCTAGCAATAATTATATCGAATTAATTCATAACCATACGTTTAGAACTCTTAAAAACCTCAGTAAGATAAATCTCTCAGGTAACAAGATAAGAGATTTGAGCAACGATGTTTTTACTAACTTGACGAATTTGAGGACACTCGATTTATGCAGGAATTTTTTGAGAGAAATTCCATCAAATTTGTTCGATCCTTTGATCAATTTAAAGGAGCTCTACTTGTGCTCCAACGAGATCACAGTGTTGCGAGACTACAGCTTTGGGATGTCACGCCGACTGAAACTTTTATCTCTCCAAGGCAATAAGATCGAGAGTATAAGCGAGGCGGCGTTTGAAGGATTGGACAATTTGGTGGAGTTGACTTTGTACGGTAATATGCTCTCATATATTCCCGGCACTCAGATGAGCCTCATTCCAAGTTTAGAGAACCTAGATCTTAGTCTAAACCTAATCTCGTACATCCCGGCCAATTCCTTCACGTCTCTCGCCAGATTGAAAAGCTTATCCATTTCTCAATGCTCAACTCTGAGTCGCATTGATTTAAAAGCCTTCGATACTTTGTCAAGTTTGACGTCGCTGGAATTGAACTTCAGCCCGATGCTGGTGGATTTCCAAATTGAGATCCTTAGGCCGCTGTCGGATCTCAGAAGATTAATTTTGAGGGGCAACGGAATCAGAACTTTGTCAAAGGCTTTGCTTGACATCGGCAACTTGCACTACATTGACGTGCGTGACAATGAATTTGATTGCGAGTGTTCAATGAAATGGTTTCCAGATGCCAGGCGTAACACGAGCCTGAACATCGAAATAGAAGACGTAATTTGTGCCACGCCGGAGTCATTGAAGGGTAAGAGCATCTCCACCTTAACGGACTACGAACTTCGATGTTACGGTCACCTTATCACCATAGCCATAAGCGCCGCCATTACCCTCACTGTAATGTTGCTCCTTGTCATCGCTTTCGTAATTTACTACAAGAACTGCAGGAAGATGAAGACGTTGGTGCACGATAACTGGCCTGATAAGATCGTGACCACTTGGCGTGACACAGACTATCAGAAGCAAGTCGAGGACGACGAGTATACATTTCATTCCCTGCGTGGGGTGCACCACATCCCCGTGACGGTTATATGACAGGAGCTTGGTGGGGGAGGCCAGGCCCAGGGATGTTCTTCCCCGCCTCCCCCACCACCACTTCGCCCTGAGGAGTTCCCTGAGCAGTCCCTATACCACGACCCCCACCAGGAGCTGCTCGTTAGGCGCACAAATCACATCCAGAGAAGCGTGTCCATGATCACCCCCGACACAGCGAGTCAAGCAGTGGCAGCACAAAACAGAACAAGATCTCGGGTCGGCAATGGTTTAGGAGATCCCCTTAATGCCGAGGATTTCGAAGGGGGGCCGTACGCAAGTATTGCAGTCCCCAATGGGAATGCGTTAGGCCAATACGAGTCTCCCCGTATCCTCCGTCGTTTGTACTCGAAGTCCAACTCGATTTACTCGGACCGCAAGACCACTAAAACTTTCCAGTCGAGACCACAAAAGATGACTGGAACGTCACTCAAGATTCCGAAGGATTCCGGTTACTATTCCTGCGAGTTTCTTGACCACAGCAACAACTCAAGCCCCCAAAGCGACGGCAAAGGGTCCAGCGGGAGCAGCAAAGAAGCCAGGCCTGTAAACCATTACAGGGATCCTGAATTGCACAACTCGACCAGGAAAACTTTTAGATGCGCGCAACTGCCGCCCAGCGACTCCGGAGTCTTCACGCTGAGTCGATCCTATTCCAAGTCAGCCAAACTCGCTCACAAGGATGACGATGGAATATATGATAATGTGCTATGATTCCCGAATAGAAATTAGCAACTTTTCTCTTCTAATCCTCGAAGCTAAGTAAAATATTTTGCTCGTCCAGTAACTAAGAAAATATATTAATATTCTTCGTACAAGAGCCCAAAATATTGATTTTTTTTCTTCTTATTATCAAGCATTAGTCAAGAAATTAGCTAATTTTTTATGTTCAATGAAAACAAGCGAATTAACTTCTTTTTTTTCGTTGAAAATTTGATTATAAAATATCGTAACGGTAATTTTTGTGTGAGGTCAAATTCCCTCCAAAAATTAACCCCGCATTGAACTACAAATGAGAAAAATATGATAAAAAAATAACTTAGAAGCTCATTTCTAAAGAAGAGTCGATGAAAATCAAAACATATTATAAAAAAATCAATACATACTATAATAAAATCGGTAGTTATTATAATTAAATCACTGAAGATTTTGAGAAGAATGCAGTGAGACAAAGAGGCGCCAAACCATCTAAGTAATTACATTATCATCACGGCTTCTGCACGATGTCAATTTGAAGAGAAAAATTCTCAAGGTTCTGGTGGTGTCCTCGTTTGAATTTAAATCGAAATACAGTTCAATTCAGCTAATTATAAACTCCAATATAGAGACGACAATCACGTGCGAAAAATAATCAGTAGTCAAACATTCTCGTCTATTTAGAGATTATCTAACAGGTTCACCGTACTTTGCGTAGTTCACGACCCTCGGTTGCATGGTCCCTTGTGTTCGTCTTAAATAGTAGTTTCCGAATAGTAGTACGCTTCATGGTTGCGAATGATTTTCAGTTGGCTATTCATTGTTTTCCAATAACGTTTGCTGAAAAATTCAAGATAATCTGACAACGATTAGCAACTGTCGCCACATGCCTCCAACCTGGTTCCAACCGTTAAAATGGAACACCTATTTAATGTGGCAATTATTGACAGATTAAGTTTGTAGTCGTAAAGATTTTGACATCATAGCAACTGAAATGTAAAATCAGTTGTTGCGGTGGTACACTATGGTATGGTACTTGATGGTACGCGGTGGCTGTATTCCTGTTTCTCATGGGACTTTCAAGTGGTACTCGATCACTGGAAGTTTGGGGACCTCTGGTCCAAGCTATCAATATGCAATAAGGTGCTCGTGACTCGTCCCAAAGCGATCGATCGATGTGCGTTTAAAGTTCGCGGTGCGCTTTTCAATTTACTGCCTTTTACTGTAGAGTTTCTCTCGTAGAATTAAGCAAGTGCTGCAGTGAATGTAAATGCCGTATACTGGACGAGCGAATGATAGATTAAAGTGAAAATGAGGGGTTTTGGCGTTCAATTGAATTCATATTTCGTGGTACGATCATTTTCTCTCTCTTATGAGCTCTCGATCTTTTCAGCATTTTAATGGAAAAGTCCTTAAACGTACGGATATTTCTGCGGGTCCCATTTCTCCGTTAAACCTAAGTTTAGTCTTGATGACTATTCTGGAATATATTGATTGCCTTTTTTAATATCACCCGTTTAAATTGAACATGGAAAATGAACTAAAATATGTCGGTTAATCAGACTGTCATTACTCGCTATGACTTGTCAATTGTACAATCTTTCCTGGAACTGAAATCATATGAACTCTCATAGGATCTTCATCATCTCATGCCATCCTTAGTTTAATTAATTTTTAATAATTAGAGATGACATGAATTAGGTCATGAATAAATGCCCATATGTATGACGCTCTATATGCTAGTCCAGCTGTATAATCCTAGTCATAATTTCACTCCTAGATAATTTCATATTAATAGCATAGATAATCAACAAATATCACTTTAGGCTATTTTTATCATTGCGCTTATACTGTACATATGGATGATAATTAATAGAGACTGCGTACATATAGAAACTTTCGTTCTTTTGCTATCCTTTTCGTGGACTTTGGCGTGCGTGCTATAATTTGCAGTCCGTTATTATACCAGTCATCGATATATGTATTATAGTCCAATACTTATGTAATATACTTACTAACTCGAATCCTCATAGTTTATATTAATTTTGAAATCATCTATAGATAATAAATGCAATGCGTTTTGGGTGATGTGTTTTGATGGTCATTTCTATCACCAAATATTCAACGTTGCTGAAACGGTGACGTTCTAAGGAGAATATATGAGTACGCAATTGTTCACACTCAATATCATTCGATAAACTAAGATGACGTTACATAAGCTTTATGATTTCCAGTGTCGTAAACGTCATTTTTCTTGCGTGCATAAATTTTCATGAATTACAGGATGAAAAGGGAAAAAATATAGCGCAAAAGCAAAAAAAGCGCTGTTGAAGAGTCAATACTGTTAGTTTTTTAGGGGGGTCTGCTGATCTACAAAATATTTTTTGGAGCCAATCTTGGAAGTTTTTTTTTGGGGGGGGGGGGGGGTTCTGCTGATCTTCAAAATATTTTTTAAGGGGGAGCAGGGGTGGTAGAGAGGGGGGGCTATCTCCCTTGGCACGAGGATGGCCGGCGCTGCGAAGTCGCTTATCTAAATCGAGCGATAATCTGGTGCTCGATATCGGCGGCTGCTGAGGAGCCTGAGCCGCTGCGTAAATCCCGACTGCAGGGCATGATGCACGTGACTGATGGGACTCTAAATCCCGACTGCAGGGCATGATGCACGTGACTGATGGGACTCTAAATCCCGACTGCAGGGCATGATGCACGTGACTGATGGGACTCTAAATCCCGACTGCAGGGCATGATGCACGTGACTGATGGGACTCTAAATCCCGACTGCAGGGCATGATGCACGTGACTGATGGGACTCTAAATCCCGACTGCAGGGCATGATGCACGTGACTGATGGGACTCTAAATCCCGACTGCAGGGCATGATGCACGTGACTGATGGGACTCTAAATCCCGACTGCAGGGCATGATGCCCGTGACTGATGGGACTCTAAATCCCGACTGCAGGGCATGATGCCCGTGACTGATGGGACTCTAAATCCCGACTGCACGGCATATGATGCCCGTGACTGATGGACTCTAAATCCCGACAGCAGGGCATGATGCCCGTGACTGATGGGACTCTAAATCCCGCCTGCGAATCATGATACTCGTGACTGATGGGACTCTAAATCCCGACTGCGAATCATGATACTCGTGACTGATGGGGCTCTAAATCCCGACTGCGAATCATGATACTCGTGACTGATGGGACTCTAAATCCCGACTGCAAATCATGATACTCGTGACTGATGGGACTCTAAATCCCGACTGCAGGGCATGATGCTCGTGACTCAGTAACAGATGACAGAACGTAGAGGCACCAGAGCTTAAACAATATCTGTTAAATAAAATGGAATCCCTGCAAAATACGAAGCGTCACAACTGTTGCTGTTAGCGGTTCATAGGAATATCGTTGTCATGAAATTATTTCTCTAAATCACTGAAGGCTTCTCGTGAAGCATTAATATCTCCGGCCATGAATTATAATGAATAGCAAGCGACATTCAATATATTCATGTTGAAGTTTGACGTGACGCTATTGAAGCATTCATTTCAGTATATTGAAGTCTTCAGTTTCAGTCTTGCTATACTATTACAAGCCATTGTTAGCTATATATACAGCTGTAACTTGCTCAGATATTGCTACGAAACAGCAAGCGCCACTAGCACTAAATGCCTGTGGGATTGCGCTAAGAATCCCGACATGGATAAACTCGAATAGTATAAATGGCCACTGAAAAAATTAGTTCAACTGAAAAGGAGGCAGAAAAACGTCAAAATTTAATTAAACAAATGATATAAGTTTCATATTATTAGTGGGAAATTATTTGATAATTTTAAAGAAAATCTTCTAGCAGATGAGGCTGTAGGCAGCACTGTTTCCGTCTGTCAATCCTGCATGCAATGCTTCTCAAATTTGTAATTAACGAATATAATATTAGGGATTTATTGCATTGCTTCTCAAATTTGTAATTAACGAATATAATATTAGGGATTTATTGCCAAGACCGATTTCTTATAGTGATGCTTTTATATATACATATATATAATCATTATAATATACCATAATTTTCTTTATTATCAATAAAATATAGGAGATATTGCGTGGTAGCGTTTGATTGACCTTTCGGCTGGTAGTGCAAAGGCCCTCATCACTCAAGTATTGCTGAATTAGTCGCGTTGCCAACGCAATTTGGCAGTCACTGTTGAAAATGTATTGTACTATTGAAAATGCATTGTTCGTATTTTGGGAATTTATGGAGAGTTCACTTAGAGATTTCGGCGAAAAGTAATTAAATGTGAAAGCGTGAT